AAGCAATATAATATAGGAGTATATTTAATATTGGCTAATGAGAGAAACCTAATTCAGTTAGGAAACATATTCTTCGCAATCAATCCTCCGCCGAAGACTCGGCAAAACCAGCTGAGTTTCCTCCGATCAGATTTCTGCGAAGAAAAAAAATCAGGTTCGAATATAAAACAGAAATATAGATCAGCTTTGATGAGTTAATGCAGTTATTTGATTGCATGTGATTTTTTTTTTGTTTGTTGTTTTGTTCTTTTGATGAGGCTTCATTTTCTTATTTATGATTGATTAACATGCATGCATAGATTTCCTTTCAACTAAATTCGCAATTTCCATCAAATCTCAATTCCTTGTGATGTGATGTGATGTGATGTAATCATGAATTAAATTAGCAATCTCCGATCTTGTTGATTCCTTGTGTTGTGAATTGTGATGTAATCATCATCATCATGTGGCTAGCCGACAAGATGTCGTCCTCGTCATACGCACCGTGCGCCGCTTGCAAGTACCTCCGACGAAAATGCACTCAGGGATGCGTTTTCGCCCCTTACTTCCCACCCGACAACCCTCAAAAGTTCATCAACGTCCACAAGGTGTTCGGTGCAAGCAACGTGGGCAAGATCCTAAACGAGCTTAGCCCCGGAGGGCAGAGAAACGAGGCCGTAAACTCACTTGCTTACGAGGCAGAGTGTCGCATCAAGGACCCAATCTACGGCTGTGTGGGCCTCGTCTCCCTTCTCCAACACCATCTCCGCCAGGTCCACCAGGAGATCGACCGGGCCCGCCAGGAGCTTGCCACCTACATCGGCCCAGCCGCCGCTATGCAGCCACACAACTTCAATTTCAATCAGGCGGCCGGGCAGCAACTCGCCGTGATTCAAGAGCCTCAACTGCAGATGAATGCAGCTCTGGCTCCTGCTCACGACCAGCAGCAGCAACAGATGTACGTTCAACAACTGCAACAACAACAACAACAACAGATGTACGTTCAGCAACTGCATCAACAACAACAGATGTACGTTCAACAGCAACAGAATGATATTGTGAGGTTTAGCGATGAAGGAAATCAAGAATCGGGAGCATTCGGGCATATTCCAGCTGCAGTTGTGGCCACTGGTGTGGAGGCAGAGATTGCCTTGGGTGGTGGTGGTACACTGGAGGAGGTTGTGGCTGAGGTTGAGGCTGATGCTGTGCAGACTTATGAGTATCAAGTACGGTAACTAACCAACCGCTCCTTTTGGAGGATAAGGCTGAACTAATTTTGAATCTACATGTTGCGGCGATGTGGATATAATCTGGGTTGGCTGGGTTAATTAGTACTCTATGTGTGCCGATATGGTTGGGAATGGGATTAGAATCTACAGTCTCGTCGCCGTAGGAAATGAAGAATATTGAGCTGATGATCAATGTTGGTTGTTAGAATATAGAAACCATAAAGTCGGGTGTGTTTGATTCTCCAAACATGTAGCTAGCTAGTATTTTGTACTCTCACCACCATTTTGAGTTTGGTTTCTTGAAGCCAAAATATGTTTTTGAACCAATTGTTTGTCATTTCATTTTACTTTGTTTGTTGGCATTTTTCTTAGATTGATTCATACAAGTCTTTCTTGGTTTCGTGATGTGTGTGTTGTTTTTGGTTTTATATGTCAAATGTCATTAACCTTTCATTTACATCTACAGGCAAACACATACAAAATCCATACACCTCACAACTACAATACATAATAAGACACTCATGCACAATCGAATAAAAGAGTAGTTTTCGAAAAAAATAGAACTACATGAATAAAGTTTAGTATTCATCGTGATGGTGATGGTGAACTTATTCTCCATGGACAATGTGTACATTTGGGGAAAGTTCCAAAAACACTTACGTAATTATGAAGGTTCATCAAAAGTAGTTCTAATGAAATTGAATTAACCAATAGTAGCCTCGAAAGTTTTAAATTAGGTAAACTTTCAAGGACAATTTTAGTTCGAAAATCAAACTTTATTCGAATGTGTTTATACTGAAATCAGAAACGTCTTAGAGTCAGGCAAAAATTTTAAAGGTTAGTGTCTTAACCTAACTATAAATTTCACTGCGTTAAAATTTATTTCAATTGATTCAAACGTGCATTGACATTCCTAACAGAACTGAACAGGTCGAGTTATTAATACGACTAGGGCAGGGTTAGATTGGATCATCCCCCAGCCACTATGGATGGACCAAACTGAAAGTTAAATACATGTTTTACTCATTTGTCATTAATCCTTACTTAAATTCCTTATCATTGCTCTTATTGTGTAGATGCGTTGATGTCTGCTTCCCTCTCTGAGTTGACCTCCACGCAAGAAAACTGTCACACCCGATGAAATATAAATGTACTATAGTTCTCCAAAATTGATTTTGTTATAGGAATAGGAAATTGATTTTGTAGGAAAAGGTAAATTCAAAATAAGATAAGTGTAAATCTGTATATTGAAACATGTTGACGGAATAATTTAAAATAATAACTTTGACTTTCCAATTAAATATGTTGAATTACTATTAAAGTAAATATATTAAAAATTACTTAACATTTATAATTAAAAAAATAAAAATCAAATTACAACTACCTGGTGTAAATCGTGCAATTCGTACTTAATATAACGAATTTCTATATATAATTAAGTGGTATCAATTTTAAAGATTATTTATGATAATTATCGTTATAAAAAATTCGAGTCTTTGTATTAATTACGAAATGGAATTTCTTATTCTCTTGGTAATTAACATACAACATGTCTTCAAAAAGAATCTATTAAATGGGTTTTGTCTTTTGAAAATATTATTTGATTGTGCAAGATAAAATTGCAAATATAATTAAAAAATAATAATTGAAAATCAATTATAAAAAATTTATTATAATATTTATCACAATGTTACAATGCAATCTTATTTATCAACATTAATAACAAATCAAAGTGATTTCTTATTCATTTGATAACCAACCTTATACCAAAATATTTTTTTATCGTATCATAGAATCAATAACTCAACCGATTAAATTTTTTTAAAAGTTGTAAATGCAATTTTCCACAATATCCAAGAATTTTAAACATTTATCTTTATACAGTCCAATCTTAATTCTTAATAAGAAATCATGCGTTCTCGTGGTTTGTTGGGTATCAAATCATATATATATTGAAATATGCGTGAGAACATTGCAAAGTATAAGTACAAAATAAATTTATAAATTAATTGCAAAAATCTTATTGATATACCTACCTCAATACTACAATAAAATTGATATTTCAAAATTAATAACAAATTCCTTTGATCTGTACCAAAAAATTATCTATTCAAGGAGTTTAAAAAATTATTTTATTTTATCAATAACTGCACCGAACTATTTTTTTAAAAAATTCATATTGTGATTCATAATATCATAACAAATTTCACACAAATTAATAGAATAGAAAGAAAAATTAAAATATTTATACTATACGGTATTATAAGTTATAACATAAAATGAAATAATATTGATGTAAGTAATAATTAATTATTTTTTAACTTTAAAATAATATATATTCCAGTCTCTTTTCATTTATGTGTTGGTTATGATAATTGACACAAATTTTAAACTTTAGCGCAACTTATTTAAAAATCGACATAATATATTATAATAATGTATGTGTAAGGAAAGCGAGAGAAATATTATATGAGTAATAGTTATTGATAATGTTTGAATACTAAAATTTTCCTAAATCCTTAACTATGAACATGAAATATAAAATAACAACTATTTCTAAATCATATATTAAATTATTATATATCATGAAATAAAAGGAAAATATTAATATTAATATTCAAAATTATTTATATACTAAAAATATTTCATTGTTTTAAACACATAATTTAAAATTATTGCCCACATGCATAGTACGAACTACGTGCTAGGGAAAGGAAAAGGTAATATAATTCGCTAAAAAGATCTTATATTAGCCCTTACAGTTTTGCTATGGAGCTATCGGATGGCTCGGCTTATGGAACCATCCATAGTTATTCACAAATAGTGTACAATAATACACTTTGGACATGTGTCAATACATTAACTGATCGATAGTTCTATAAGAAAACCATCCGATGACTCCATAAAATTTTTGTTAGCCCTTAATATTGAGCTATCATTAGACCACTAGTACAACGCCCGGTGTATTACACGGGTGTTTGCTATTTTTTTTCTTCTCAAAATCCAAAATTAATGAGAAAAAATAGTTAAAAATTTAAATAACTTTTATAAAATTATATATAGTATTATATATTTTGTATGACACTTTTTATTTATGCGACTTACATGTGTTATATTATAATATTTTTTTAACTTACAACATATAACTACATTGAACATATATATATCAATTGAGAGATAATTTTATTTTTCTAAGGAATTTTAATAAATATTATTATTTTTTATTATTATAAAGAATTATATTTTATTTATTTCATATATACAATAGGGATGTCAAATCGAAGATCCTCAAAAGATGATTAATTTGATATATTATATGTGTAAAACTGATAAAAAATACAAAAATTATCAACTTTTAAAATACATTTATAATTCAATAGTTAATTGAAGAAAATCAATCAAAAGTCAGGGATATATTAGTCACTTAGTGACTCACTATATAAAATTGCAAAGAATTAAAAGTTTATATCAGTACAAACTGATATTAAAATACCTAAGTTAGCTAAATAATATTTATAGAATTTCCGAACCTAAATTATTAATCCCCTCTATATATAATTCCTGAATGAGCTGGGCCTACGTGGCTGCTTCTGGTGCTTCAGAATCCTACTTGGCGAAGAATCATGCTTTGTAATTAGGTTTGGACAAATAATATTGATATATTAATAATTAATAATTTAAGTTCAGACATTCTATAAATATTATTTAGCTAACTTAGGTATTTTAATATCACTTGTACTAATAAAACCCTTTAATTCTTTATAATTTTACATAGTGAGACACAAAGTGACTAATATATCCCTGACTTTTGATTTGTTTCCTTCAATTAGCTATTGATTTATAAATGTATTTTAAAAATTGATAACTTTTGTATATTTTATCGGTTTTACATATATAATATATCAAATTAATCATCTTTTGATGATCTTCGATTTGACATCCATATTATATATATAAAATAAATAAATTATATTTATCTTTTAATAATAAAAAATAATAATATTTATTAAAATTTATTAGAAAAATAAAATTATTTTTCAGTTAATATACTTATGTTTATTGTAGTTATATGTAGTAAGTTAAAAAAAACTATTATAATATAACACAAGTAAGTCACACAAATAAAAAGTGTCATACTAAATTTAGAAAAGGTATATAAATTTTCACCTACTTTTTTTCATTAATTTTAGATTTTAAGGAAAAAATTAGCAAGCACCCGTGTAATACACATGCGTTGTATGTCAATATTATATGTACAAACCTAATTACGTACGAAGCATAATTCTTCGCCAAGTAGGATTTCGAAGCACCATAAGCAGCCACGTAAGCTCAGCGTATTCGAAAATTATATATAGGGGGAGGGGGATTATTTATCTGCCGTTTTGTAGGAAAAAGAAAAGGTACCTTGTTTGGCGATCAACGGATAGATAGCCGATAGTATCAACGGATAGCGGATTATATTAGCTGATTTGACCAGTGGATTGCATTGCGGTTTTTAAATGAGTGTTTGGTAAATAGTTGAAAGCTTATAGCTGTTTGACATTACAAAATGACCAATAAAGACATTTTATTATTTAGGGTGTATTCTTTTAATAATAATATATTAAAACATTTAATATTCTTTAGTTGGTAATTTATAAATATATTATTTTTTTTAAATGTACTAACACTTGATGAAGAAGTTATGAATTTTACATTTTTCTAGATAAATAAACTAATGTAGATTGTAAAATAAATAATACAAATTTAAAAGTTCCAAGTAAATGATTTTTTTTAATCCTCTATCCCAAAATGCAACTCTAATGAGCTTTTTCTAAATTAGAGTTTTAGGCCAAAAAAGCTTATCAAATAAGTTATTTACCAAACATGCTCAATAGCGGATTTGACGGGTCAAACCTTTCAATTAAGTTCAATTCGATAATTTGTCTTCAATCCGCTATCTTTCAAACGGGGCCAATATAATTCCGCTAAAAATGATCTTCTTATATTAGCCCTTAATATTGAGACTAGTATTAATACCTATGTACAACATGAGTGTTTTTTTT